TCCCGCCCCCTCCTCCCCCTCCCTCCCCGCGCATCACTACGGCCCCGAGTGAACGCGTCAAGCGCAGCGGAAGCCCCGCGCGACGATACGCGGCGGGCAGGGAGGCGGCGTCACTCAGCGGTGAGAGGTGGACGTACAGCTGCGGCCGCTCGCGCTGCCACGCCGCGCGCCCTGAGCAACGAGATAAACGCCCGGGCGCGCGGCTCTGTTACGACGCTCGAGGTATCTTCAATAGCGAATTTACGACGCGGCAGGAATGAGCGAAATGCGACTTGGAAACATACGATCCTTTCGCCGAAGAAAGCAATACCTACACAAAATTTACGGCTTTCTATTCTTTGCACCAATGTATGTGCACAAGGGATTTTACAGCGGATTGTATTTTGTCAGGCAAACATGGAATGGGCATGTAAATTTTTTTCAATAAATTAAGTTATTGTTTTGTCATTTCGGACAGTTGCTATTTACTTGGTAAGGTAAAGTAATGCGTATTTAGTGTTGTATTGTTTGACCTCCCTTTAATTTCCATTGCCTTTAAAATTACATTTCTAAGGCCATATATTTAGCGAAAAATAAAAGTCAGAGTTGATAAAAATGTTCCCCTAAAATTAAAAAAGAGTAATGTTTCTCTACCTAGCTGTTACTGTACTACCGGTCCAAATGAGCATTTTATCGCAATACGGCTACATTTGCGCTTTCAATGGAGCCGGCTACTACTAATTATTGCGGTTTATAAATCAATTTTCCCACTTCATTATAGTTTTTTTTTCCATTCGCGCTCGCTCGTTTGAGGTTTCCACGAAGATCAAATAATGAGTCACAATATCGCAACTGCAATGCAGTCGGGGCCTGGTCCCCATAAAGATGTCCCGGAATCCCCCTTAAAGTGACTCCCTCTCGAAAAAAAATCGCCTCGTAATATCCATTTATTCTGGCGGTCTTTGCCTCGGCCGCGCGGGGCCGTTGCGAGGTCTTCGCCGGCGCGGAACGGCCTCTCGGCTCTTTTAAGTCCGTCTAGAACAGCGCAGCACTATCGCGCGTACCCCAATTACACACGCGACGTCCAGAGCAATCTAAACAGGACATAACGAGACGATAATTAAAATCATTTTTCTCCCGAGGGAAACTCATTACAATGGTCACGTACAGAAAACGCGGCAATACAAAACGAAACGAGCTGCTATCGCGCCCTACCGGGGACCGAGAACATCGTATCGCTTCCTTCTATACGAGCGATTTCGTTTATTAGATATCCTCGGAAATTCCTCCTCGGAAGGGCCTGCTACTTTATGTATGCAAGGCGTCAGCTTGCGCGGATTAGGCATTGTGGCTTGGCAGTGCTCATCGAATACACGACCCTAGCAGACTGGGATCAGCCGCAGCGCCATCTCCATTACAGGAGGGATGAAATGCAAAGTTGGTGTACAAACCCTTATGAATAATTGAGACCTGCTTAGACAGTTTCTGAAGAGGAAATTAATATTTGTAGATGTGTGGGGAGGCCGTGTACACGAAGGCGCGCGTGCGGGCGTGGGCGTGGCAGCACGTGAATGGAGTGGCGCGTCTGTCTGCGTTTGTGCGTGTGAGGCGAGGTCTTGGGGCTGGATGGCGCACTCGCCTTTGTGTGCGTGTCTGCTGGGAGTCTAAAGGCTGATAGCTGAGTGTTGGCGTATTTGACAGGCGATTCAAAGCATGGGCTACCATTTGTATCTGCCATCGGGCAGCGCTTCGACTTCCCGCTCGCTTGGGCGCGGGGGCGGGTGCGGAACGAAGCGGGAGCGGCGCGGTCAGAGCGAGATTGGGCGTGGGGCGCATCGGGGCCGAGGGCGAGAACGGTGTGGAAGAGGGAGAGGTGGCGGTTTGTGAGGGTGGAGGTAGCGGCGAGGGCAGGGACGGTGGCTTCGCTGTGGCGGCGTCGGGTGGAGGAGAGGGAGAGGCGGGGCGGGAGGGAATGGGGCCTGCAGCGGAAGGGACGGGGTGCGCGCGAATGTGGAAGCTGGAGGTGGCGGGTAGGGGTGGCGCGCGAGGGACAGCAGTGAGGGGTTGCGGGGCGGGCATGGATGCGGTGAGGGCGACAGGCGAAGGTGGTAGTGGGCGTGATGCGGGAGCGGGGGCGGCGGTGGTAGAAGGTGGTGAGCGCGGGCTGCGAGCGGGACGCAGGAGCGGGGGCGGGGCGGTCCGGGCGTGGGGGGGGGCGGAGCTCGAAGCCCCGCGGAGGCCAGCAATCAAAGCAGAGTTAACCATGGAAATAGACTGAATTAAACTACCCTGGTTTCCCGGAATTTGAGTGACTGGTTTTGCCTCGCCGCTACGCAATGTCAAATCAACCGCTTTAATCCAAATGCTGGATTACCCCGTGCTCACGCAACATTCAACTACTTAAACGTTTCTGGGGACTGTAAATCTTTTTAAAAATACATATGTTTGATGGTGAATGAGTTGATCCCAGTTGTTTTAAACGGAATACGGGAGAAGCAATTGGAACAAGTCAATGAGTTGCCAACATTATTGCAGGGAGAAGAGAAGCAAATTTTTCCGTTTAGGTTTTAGAGGTAAAAGCAGCAGAATTATAAATAGTATTATAAATAGCTTAGAATTTCTGTAGAAATTTCATTCGAAATGTTTGGCTTTCGGGAAGAATCGTACAACTAGTTGAAATGTAAAACATTGCTCAACCGGGTTAACCAGCATAGAATACTACGTCGTTTGAAAATAAGAAAAATCCCAGTTTATACTTGCTGAAATGAGTTGATGTTAAGTAACATTTTATTACATATACACTTATATTACTACATATACAGTTGCAAATTAACGACAATTTTTTTTTGTTTCTGAGTAATTATAGGAGAACGAAAGAAATAAAATTTATTTGATTGTCATGAATGAATATGATCCCGAATAACCGCACTTTACGAACATAGAACGCGTGACAAAATATTTGTTGAAAGGCAGCTACATCAAGCCATTTAGACATTACGGTGGTCTCTTATTGTCGTGGAAATACAAACATTTGTTTCTTGACGCATCGGTAAATATGAACTACCTAAAAAAAACACGACAGAATTCTCAAAGGCTTCGGTGGCCCATGTGTTGGCGGCTTTGCCAGGGCGCTTAGGCCACGGCAGGTACTCACCCATTACTTTGACGTTGAGTTTGCCGCGCGCCGCGAGGCCCGCGGGGTTGGTCGCCACGCACACGTAGCCCCCTTCGTCGGCTTTCTTCTGAACGTCTTTGATGACGAGCGTCCCATTCTGGAAGACGAGTTGGCGATGATTATCTGGCAACGTCCGACCTGCAGCAAACGAGACGAACCTTTAAGGCAAAAGTTCTTTTCATGGAGGAGTACACCGTCATTTAAGAACATAAAACTTGATCTACAAAAGGGGAAAGACGTGCAGTATCTTCACTAAAGCCCCATGTAAGAAATCTGAAAAGGGTGAAGATCGATGAAGGCATGGATGGGTACCTCCGTAATTAGAGGAAATTACCCTGCCTCGTTTCATTCTATTTCACTGCCATTAAGGCGCGGTCATAAAAGCTCTTTTGCAATTCCCCCAGGTATTTATGACCATCAGATATTTATGGTCTCGCAAGAGGTTATAAGGAGATGACCGCTACACCACGAACTGGAAGCCTATAAAGGAAATCGAAGGAGAAAGTTACCTCTTCTCTCAACATTCTTCTTAAAAAATAAGAAACTAAGTTAGCAGATTTTTCACAACAGAAAACATTGAATAATTAAACTACAAAAAATGTAAAACATGGAAAATCATTTTTTGGTTTAAATTCAAAAGAATCTCCTATGATTGCCCTGAAGACACCAGTTGTATTACACAAGACGAGTAAAAACCAAAACTTTGCTATCATGAAGCGTTGGTGGTGGACTATTGTATCACGTTGCAATAGTGGAACAGATGGGTCTATTACGCAGTCCTTTAATCATTTTAGTGTCATAGGTTAAAAATAAATAAGTCGCAAACCAAATATTCAGAAGAAGCTAATAAGTGTTGATTTCCAGCATACTGTCATGAAATAACTTGCAACCTACTAACGTGATTACCCTTAGTGGACTAATTGAGTCATTCCAAATTGGTTTTGCAATATAATGATGGAAATATACTTATTTGGTTCCCATGAAAAATTATTTAATGACTAATTCGTCTTCTGCCTAAAATTGTTTGATCAAATTTAATACCTAGAAGTTATCATAGTTCCCACCGCACTTTGTTCCACGTTCTTGACGGGGTCACGAGTTCTGATTCGAAACTCACGGCACCTAATCTGAGCTCGCTAATCCGCGGCCCGGGCGGTAGACGAGGTCCAAGGACTCGCGCCGTTTCCTTACACGCTCCGCTCCTTCCTCCGCTCCCCCTGGGACTCCGGTGGGAATAAATCGAGGGGGCCCGCAGATGCTGCGCGCGATACAGTTAAGTGTTGACGTTGTTTTCCATAATTTTGTAGGGAAATCCCAAGCTTACATATTCTGCCTTCGCAGCGCACCATCTCCCTGGAGCCGCGCGGGGGGGGGGGGGCGGCCCGGCGACTGCGCACGCTCCGCCATCTGATAAGCTCGCCCTCCCAAAAGAACGGCGGCAAAAAAGCGTCATACAATGTAGCGGGGACGTCAAATTTAATTCCGCGTGTACTCTTTTTTCCGCCCGGGCTCGGGTCCCGGACCGCTCGTGCTCCGCGCCGCGCCGCGCCGGGCCGAGGTGCAGCGGGGCGGGGAAGCCAGAGGTGGGCGGGGGCGGAGAGGAAATCGACGCGGGAGTGATCTCG